CTATACAGTTCTGTCAATGCCAATAGTAAAATTCTCACTCACATTAGCAATGAGTATTTTTTTGATTTTGTGTGTGATCATGCCAACTATTAATGTCAGTCTTAGCACTGCCACACCATGTCCTCACCTCTTTCTGAAGCCACTCAGTTAAGGACGTTCAGCACTTCAGAAGTCAGACTTCTTATTTATTGTCTATGTGCTATATTCTTAATGAATATTCAAGATGATACACATAGTAGTACAACACAAGCTCTGTCTTATTTTAATCTTTCTTCCTCTATAAACAACTCAAAAATGGTAAAAAAAAGATATAATAAGAACAAACCATTCTCTTCTTCAACAAAAATCACCAATGAACAAAAAAAACCACTTAACAAAGCAGTTAGCAAAAATGGCATAATCTTATCATTCTCCTTTAAGAAATAAAGATAAACAAAATGCATCCTGAAGTCAACTGACAAATCCATCAGAATTGTACACAGCAAATAATACATTAGTGTAAAGGTGCAGAGTATCTAAAAACATCCCAATATCTATATTAACTCTGTATTACACAACATCATTAGAGAAAATAAACCTTTAACTAGTGAATCAAGTAGTGAATTACAAGTCTATTGCTGAATGAAATGTTTAATATAACTTAGGCTAGTAAATTAGGACAATACCCTGTACAATTGAGCAAACAAGGCTTTATGAATTAGGCACTAACAACTTCAATTCTGTACTGCTTAATTCAAGGAATAATCAGGAAATCACTTATAGCTGGGAATTTAACATCTATGTATGAGCTTTGTTGACCTTGTATTTTTCATTTTTCATTTAGACAGTGACTTGAAAAGTGAGTTGATCAGCTGATTTGTAGAAGGAAAAAAAATAATTTACATCTTAGTGGACTCTATATAATACACCTTTTCAATACAATTCTACTTTATCAACTTTTTTTTTTTTTATTTCTAGAATCTACTTTAAAAGGGAAAACGACTCCATGATCTTCAAAAGTACTTTGTTACTTTTAAAAGTTGAATGCTTCAAAAAGACTGGCATCAGCAAACAGTAACCATTATGATTCATTTCAGAAGAATGAGGCTTCCCCTCAGGAACCAAGACTAAGGGTATGATCACTCAGGGCTGCTAACTTCCAGTTTATCTCCGAGTAAGATTTGGCATAATTGTAATAAAGACCGACATCCACATTCTATGCTTTACCATGTCACTACGAACAAAACATAATTTCATTAACATTAACGCAGTCACTAGAGATTTGCCACAGCATAACTAGAATAGACTGTGATTGAAAGGCTTGGACAGAAGTTTTCAGAAAAGCCTGAGGTAATTACTTTTCCTGATCACACTGACTCCTGCTCTCAGCAAACACCACAGAGAGCACTTCTAGTTTTACCAATGCCCTGTGCAATCTAAATGTCGAAGCAGTGCTACAAACTAGTCTGATTCAAATTGAGGGTTTTTTGTAAAGACTTGTACACACAAAACATTTCCATACCAACAAAAGTCTGTGAGACTCTGGTCTTCTGCCAAAATTGCATATAAAACTTTATACTATAGATTTTATGAAGAAGAGTTAATCTGTTTATTTGCTACTGTATTATGGAGAAGAGGAGATGACAGAATGATAGAGGAAGGAATTAAAAGCACCATAGCCTTTAATATTTTTAAAACTACTGTTAAATGCCCAAACTACATAGTTTTCTGGAAAAGTTCTTGGTCACTGAGCACATATCAGAAAAGACAACAAGCAAAGTAGAAAGAGAATGGTAAAAAAGAGCCCTTTAAAATCAAGGATAGAAATGTAGGAAAAATCTAACAAGCAAACGATCAGAAATTAATTCAGTTTCCTTCACATCCTCTGGTATCAACACACATGAAACAAAAACTTATAAACTTCAGTACAGAAAAAAGGTATTTGAATATTTTGTGAATTCTCTAATATGATGAACATAACTCTGATTCTCAGTTTCAGGAATTTCTTTCTTTCTCCATATTTGCTTTCCACAAAACGGTTTGTCATCAATAGGGGATGAGACCTGACGAGATGCACCCCAGAGTCCTGAGGGAATTGGCTGATGGAGTTGCCAAGCCACTCTCCACGATATTTGAAAAGTTATGGCAGTCAAGGGAAGTCCCTGGTGATTGGAAAAAGGGAAACACTGCACGTGTTTTTAAAGAGGGTGGAAAGGAGAACCCTGGGAACTACGAACCTGTCAGCCTCACCTCTGTGCCTGGGAAGATCATGGAACAGATCCTCCAAGAAGCTAGGCTAGAGCACATGGAGGACAGGGAAGTGACTCAACACAGCCTGCATGGCTTCAACAAGGGCAAGTCCTGCCTGACCAAACGAGCAGCCTTCCATGATGGAGTCACTACATCAGTGGAAAAGGAAAGAGCTCCAGATATAATCTATCTGGACTTCATCGGTGGATGAGGAATTGATCAGATGGTCACATCTGGAGGGTAGTGGTCAATGGCTCAATGTCCAGATGGACACTGACAATATTGTCCCACAGGGGTCCGTATTGGGACCAGTACTGTTTAGTACCTTCACCAGTGGCAGTGGGATCAAGTGCATCCTCAAGAAGCTTGCAGATGACACCAAGCTGAGCGGTGTGGTTGACAAGCCTGAGGGACAGGATACCATCCAGAGGACCAGGACAAGCTTGAGAAGTGGGACTGTGTGAACTTCATAAGGTTCAACAAGGCCAAGCACAAGGTCCTGCATCTAGGTCAGGTAATCCCTGGTATCAATACAGGATGGGGGATGAAGGTATTTGGACCAGCCCTGCAGAGAAGGACTTGGGGATACTAGTGGATGAGAAGCTGGACATGAGCCAGTAATGTGCTCTCATAGCCCAAAAGGCCAACCATATTCTGGGTTGCACTGAAACCAGCGTGGCCAGCAGGTCAAGGGAAGTGATTCTACCCCTCTACTCTGCTCTGGTAAGACCCCACCTCGAGTACTGCATCCAGCTCTGGAGTTCTCAGTACAAGAAAGACATGGACCTGTTGCAGCGGACCCAGAGAAGGGTCACAAAATGATCAGAGGGATGGAACACCTCTCCTCTGAAGAAAAGCTGAGAGAGTTGGGGTTGTTCAGCCTGGAGAAGAGAAGGCTCTGGGGAGACCTTATTGCAGCTTTTAAATACTTAAAGGGGGCCTATAAGAAAGATGGGGACAATCTTTTTAGCAGGGCCTGTAGTGATAGGACAAGGGGTCATGGTTTTAAAATAAAAGATGGTAGATTCAGACTAGTTATAAGGAAGAAATTTTTTAGGATGAGGGTGGTGAAACACTGGAACAGGTTGCTCAGTGAGGTGGTAGAAGTCCCATCCCTGGAAACATTCAAGGTCAGGCTGCATGGGGCTCTGAGCAACCTGATCTAGTTGAAGATGTCTCTGCATTGCGGGAGGTTGGACCTCTAAAGGTCCTTTCCAACTCAAACCATTCTATGATTTTACGAAGAGAAGGAAAATATATTTACCACTAATGCCTAAGCTCCTCTCACTAAATATGCCAGGCAAATATGAAGCACAGGTAAGTCTGTAGCATCTGCTGGTAGAAAGAGTGGCCACCTTGTTAAGTTTGAGTATTAAGTGTTTGAGCTCCATTAGTCTCATCATATGATGGTTCAGAGAGCAATGGAAACTGTAACAAAGAATGCAGGGACACTTTGAACATCTTGAACATGAGAAGTTGATTATGTATATTTGTATGAACGTTTATTGGCAGATACTTTCCACCTTCTTGATAATAAATTCAAGTAGTTTCTGTTTACTATTGAAGGATGTCTCTCTGTGTGGCAAATTATTCTAGACAGTTTATACTGCACAATAAGGCAATATGAATTCCCTTGTGGTTAAAAAGGACACTCCTCTGTCTAAACTTGGAAAATGCATTCAAATAAATGCTAAGTCACTGTTTTCCAGATGCCAGAATATTGTACAGAATTCTTTCTGTAAGCAGAATAGCAGGGAGCCAATACATCCATCCTTCTGTTCAAAAGATCCACAGGGAAAAGAAATATGTTCATCAAAAGCCAAAGCCAAAAAGTAGCTCTACAGTGACTTGAATAATAAATATGCCTCAAAATTTCAATTTCTAAAATGTTCAAGTTAACTATTCAGATTTTTAACTAGAAAATCAGTGTTTCTTTTCAAGAAATATTATATACCAGAAAATTTAAAGTGGGATTTTAATAGTTATTCTTTCAGGCCCTATCAATTAATTGTATTAATTGCCCTAGATTTTCAACAATTCTATTAATTGTTATTTGTTTCTTTACAATGGTACATCTACCTTGTATATTTTTTAGCTATTAACTACATTAATAGATGATCTACATGCTAAAACATTTCAGAATAGATACAGATGTATCGTCATTCTCCTCTGTGGTGATACTGCAATTACTAAATACTGACTATTTTAGGGTTTCTGCTACTGGTATTTATTTTACTTACGTCCTTATTTCAGACATATGGATATCTTTAACAGCAAAATACACTAGGGCTTTTAAGAGTTTTAAGTAGAGTTTTAAGTAAAATAGATCATTTAAAAACGCTGATGAGAACATGGTCTCCAGTGTTCAAAGGTATGTATACATCACAGGACAACCTTGCAAATATTAACATTGAAGTCACTAAGAGAAAAAGCTGTATACACTGCACTGTTTCAATTTACTTTAAATATAGAAAATACAAAAACATTATAAGGAACACACTTCTGATTTTCTCACAGGTATTGAGTTGGATGTGATCTTCATTTTGTTGAAGATTGGTGGTACTGAAATGATACTTGCTGTATGTTCCATCCAGGCCTTGATGCAAATACAATTTGTCATGGCTAAGCTACAGAGGAGTACACAGAAGATCGTGCAGGACAGTAACTTCCACTGGAAAAATTGGTTTATTGCTCCTACAGATGTGCCTTTTTCTAGCCTCCGTTTAGGAGCTCAGTTTTTCTCTCAGTTATTTATAATCATCTGAAACAGTCTAATATTTCTCTGGGGGTGGTTTGTAGTGGTGTGGATGATGTTGCTTCAGATGAGGTCCTAAACAAAAGAATAGGAAAATATGCACATATTAAACCCTGAATATGTAACACTATCATTTATCCATACTAAAGTCTTTGTGAGGCATTGAGCTTGCAATCTTACATCTTGTAAGGGAACTATCTGTACCAAAAACTATGTGCATGTTCAGTCTAGTGACTGTGAAAGGACAAAAGAATTCAAGCTGATGAATCTTGGACTAATTCATTACAATTTTTGTTGAGCTTTGCAACATTGAGCTGTACTTTTCAGAACCTTATAAAATGCTGGAAATGGCCATTAAGAGGTCTGCACTGGTTTAGAAATATGATCAGGCTCTAGCTGTGCTGGACTGAATGCACGCAGAAAAATCTAATCTTGAAAGCTAAGCAATCCCAGGCTTAGGTAGTACTTGGAGGACAGACTGTCTTTGAATCTCAAGTGCTATAGGCATAAGCCAAAGAGCTGTGGTGGAATGAATGGCAAATGTCGGACCACAGAAACTGAGTGAGGGGAAGACTGCATTTGCTTCTATCATTGCTGATGGACAGTTACGGGGGGGAAAAACCCAAAGTTTTCATGCCTCTTAAATTCATGGAATGCTACTGGAAGCAATAAAGACTCTTAAGGCTCGAGCTAACTGTTTTCATGTGGAGGACTGAAATTCCTGAAGTCAAAACAGGGTACTACTTACTGTGGGGTGAAAATGGAGGAAGATCGGGTGTTCGGAATGATTTTATTGTAGCTGGCCCTTCCCCACCAGTCGTCAGCACTTGAACTTCCAAACGGTACAGCATCGATGGCCTCAGATTGGGCACAGTAAGTACATAATGATCCTAAAAATAAATAAATTGTGTTGATTCTCAGAGCATCTAAAAGTAGTTGATCTACTCACACAAAGTAGTGGTTTAAACAGGTTCTGTCACTCACAGCAGTCACAAATCATTTTCTTAGAATTCTGTTAAAAGGATTTAACGCATACATCACTTTGTTGAGAGGGTTTGCTTTGAATTTTTTGCTTGCCATAGCAAGCCCACTTTTTTACCATAATGTTATGGTTTCATGTGTAAGAGGTCCAAGATGTTCGTTAGTGTTCTAGAAAATGGATGATGTGCTCATCACTAAAAAAAAAAAATAAAATAAAAAAAATTTAACTTCCTAATCACTCTTTTTAACAAACATGTTCATTATATAAGCTTGTTTTTATTTTGGTTCTGTCTGTGAATTCCACCAATTGATAAATTAATTCATGGCAATACACAGGTCTGCCCCCCTGCTGCAGGTAGTGAAAATAAGTGTGACTACACAGATTTCAGCATATTTATCCCAATTACACCATGAGAATTTGTCCTTTTGTTCTTAATCCCATTTTTGGCATGATGGCCTTAATTTTCAGTGCTCCATACCTTGCACACTTACACCTCTGCAAAATAATCTCAGAGTAAGTTTATAAATGCTCCCAAATGGGGAATACATCTGACTAAAGACTGAAGGGCACTAAGGAAACAAAAGTCCTGATTCACCTTATTCCAAACTGAAAAGGACCAGTCCAGGGACAGGGGCAGTGATGCCTGACAGTGAGGGCATGGTGTGCCCCTGTGACCAGTCAGGCTGGACCAGCCAGGAATTTGCAGGGCAAGTTCCTCCGTCTGGCACTGCACTCAGAGCCAAGCAGAGGGACCTAAGCGGGCTGTGGGAGTAACTGATAATTTGCTGTTACTGCCAGAGCAGACAGTAAATGAGAAAGGAGAGAGAAAAGGTGGGTAAAAACATGTAGCTTTACTGCCAAATTAGCATGTATTCTGAGATGGGGCTGCTCTTAATAGACCTTGCTGAAGCTGTTCTACCTCAAATAAGATACTGAACGGGTAGGAGAGAGAGAAGAGTGCATACATTGTATTTATACTGCCCATTCAGGTGCTCCTCTGGCACTGGGACCTGAGGCTTTCAGCCCCATTGTGTAAATATTAAATTTTTATGAGTCAGAGGCTGCCAATGAGAATGAGTGAATGATTCTCATCGCAAAATACTCTACATTCTGGTGGATTCTGAGAGGCAGGAGGCAGGTTTCTGTTTCAGCTCAAACCAGAGTTTTCTTAACCGGTTGTCATAAATATACGGAGAGATACATATAATAATAGATAATTAAATAAAAGGAATCTCCAGACTCTACACTAGTGAAAACAGAGGAAAACAAAGATAAAAAATATTAAAGCTTAACACAATGTAAAGGGGTGTTTTAAATTAAACTTCACATATATTTCAGACCTTACTGGACCAAAAGGTTATAGAAAGGAACAGAAATTCTGAATAAAACATATGCCTAACTCCTAAAAAGAGAGATGAAAACTGAAGTGAAAATTAACGTCTCATGGTCTGTAACTTTGCTCATCAAGTGGTTGTTTGCAGCCAAAGGTCTGTGACTGAGTAACTGCTTCAGGTAATCTTACAACGTGACTTGCTGAAGAGACCAAGGCTGTATCTGCATCATGCTTCTGCTCTGGACTGTGGCTTGAGCTTGAAGTGAACTAGTGCAGATCACACCAAGTCTGTACTAAGCTGTAACAAAACAGCTCTGCACACTGCATGCTAGCTTACTCCATAGTTTTAGAGCATCCACGGTCAAATTTGTTGCTCTCCCCCAGAAGAACAGGCTTTGAAACACGGGTGCCCTAGCATTAGAGCAGTCTGCTAGGAATTAAGACACAATGGTGAGAACCTTGTCCTGGATTTGTGTAAAATTCCTTGAACGTAAAATGTGTCCAACAAAACATTTTATGCGTTCTTTGATTAAATGAATGCTGTGAAAGATTTTCAGCCAGGTCTGCTCTAGGCATAATCACCTTGATCCACTTCCCTGAAGTGAATGGAAAGATCCCAATATCATTAGGTGACTTTGGATCAAGGCCAGCTGCTTAAGCTCTTTTGTTGACTTTGGTGGATCTGGCAACAGAGTCTGAATGAAGTGTTTTTCACCTGCCTCTGCCAGAGGAGGAACTGAAATAGCAAAGGCTGTCTTAAAGCAAACAAGGGGAAGAATTCAAACTGAATTCTCACACTTTCAATAAACAGTGAAATCTAGTTGTCCTTTAAATTATTTGTCTGTTAGACAATACAGCATATTAGCCGTGGGGGAATGATTTTTATTTTTCTTAGAGCAATGAGTGACTCAAAGGAAGAGAAAATTGTCTTAGATCCATTGACTCGGACACCAAATAATTAGTAAAACTATAATAACTGCCAAGTTGAATAACCTGATCATCAAAAGAAAATAAAAACTGTGTATTGCCACACAGATGATCTCTTCCTCCCTTCAGGCATTTCTCAGACAATGGTTGCTAATTTGACAATTGTGAGCATTAAAATGTTTGATGTGTCATCAAAAAGAGTAGCTGTGCTTTATTTCTCCAGCAAGGAGGAAAAATTAAGCACTTCCTGCTCCAACTTGCCTGCAAAGCCAGAGAATGCTATGCGTGATATCTGCATCACCACTAAACATTCCAAATAGGCCACATATGTATGCACTTACAAAGCTGCTAGTGAAAGAAAGTAACAACTTACTGCTGGTAGTATCTGCGACTGCGAAATGATGCTGTTGGGTAAGCTGTTCTGCCGGCTTTCTGTGGTTACTTCTGCCCAAGTGACTTGAAACCCTGTCATGGGCTGGTGAAGGTCTGCCTTAGATATCTTCCAGGAAAAATGACCAGTGATGTTACCTTCCTGGACAATGAAAGACGCAGATAGATTCTCGGGTTTGGCCAACACTTTGGGTAGAACTGGCACTATAAATTTGGAAAGCAAAAAGATAAGCTAAACTTTGAGAGATAATGTTCAATAATGGTCATTCAGTTCCACAAATCAAGGTCAGAGAGAGCTCTCTCTGGTGTTACCCAGGATCCTGCCACCTTTCTGCCATCACATTTTCAGTGTTAACAAAAGTCTATCTTTGATATATTCCAAAAGTATTTTGTGCCAAATTTAAACCTCAAATCAAACCGACAGCTACAGGTGATAGAAAGGAAAGACTATAGCATGTAAAGGCACAAGTGCCTCACTCACAGGCAACCATCCTGCCCTGTATTTCAGAATAACTGAGCTTCAGTTCTCAATTTTGAGACCACAAGAAAACCCACAGCATAGCACAGAACTCCATCATGCAGGCCAAAAGTAACATTCATGCTCTAAAACTGTAGTACAAGTTAATAGAGACACTCTGATTAGGGGAAACATATGCCTGAGTAGCAGTTGCCTGGGACTAAGGTTGTAATGCTGGAAACTGTCAGGAGGGGTGGTCGGGAAATGGCAATGGTGGCCAAGCAGGACTCTGAAGTGACCCACAAAGCACAGGAGTACCCTTGGGGACCATAGGGACTCAAAGAGTCCCATCCTCTAGCTGAAGAGAGAGGTTTGCAGCCTTGGCTGTGCAAAGCCATGGTTGACCTGACCTAACCTGACAAGAGCCCTGCTTCAAGTGGGCAGTTGGACTAGCTGATCCCAGAGGTCCTCACCAACCAACATCTCCGTGATTCTGCACAATTTTTCATAACCCTCTAGGTATACCTAGCAGCACGGCAACACTGTAAAAGCTATAAGGGTGCCTTTATTTTTTATTTGAGAGCAGAATTAGCCTAAACAAAATCAAACTGAAAAAGTGGCTTGCATCAGCAGCAAAACATTCAAAAGATGGGTTGATGGGCCATGCCAGTATAATTATGTTTACAGTTATCATCTGTCATTATAATTAGTGATATTTTTATTTGTTCTGAATATTTCATTTCCCATTTTAGAATTGCTTTTAAATACTTTTTTCAGTGATTATATCTTCATTTGAAACTAT